AGTCGTCTGTGATGTCACGAGTCGTCTGTGATGTCACGAGTCGTCTGTGATGTCACGAGTCGTCTCTGATGTCACGAGTCGTCTCTGATGTCACGAGTCGTCTCTGATGTCACGAGTCGTCTCTGATGTCACGAGTCGTCTCTGATGTCACGAGTCGTCTCTGATGTCACGATCCGTCTCTGATGTCACGATCCGTCTCTGATGTCACGATCCGTCTCTGATGTCACGAGCCGTCTCTGATGTCACCAGTCGTCTCTGATGTCACGAGCCGTCTCTGATGTCCCGAGCCGTCTCTGATGTCACGAGCCGTCTCTGATGTCACGAGCCGTCTCTGATGTCACGAGGAGTCTCTGATGTCACGAGGAGTCTCTGATGTCACGAGGAGTCTCTGATGTCACGAGCCGTCTCTGATGTCACGACCCGTCTCTGATGTCACGAGGAGTCTCTGATGTCACGATCCGTCTCTGATGTCACGATCCGTCTCTGATGTCACGAGTCGTCTCTGATGTCACGAGTCGTCTCTGATGTCACGAGTCGTCTCTGATGTCACGAGTCGTCTGTGATGTCACGAGTCGTCTGTGATGTCACGAGTCGTCTGTGATGTCACGAGTCGTCTGTGATGTCACGAGTCGTCTCTGATGTCACGAGTCGTCTCTGATGTCACGAGTCGTCTCTGATGTCACGAGTCGTCTCTGATGTCACGAGTCGTCTCTGATGTCACGATCCGTCTCTGATGTCACGAGTCGTCTCTGATGTCACGAGTCGTCTCTGATGTCACGAGTCGTCTCTGATGTCACGAGTCGTCTCTGATGTCACGAGTCGTCTCTGATGTCACGAGTCGTCTCTGCTGATGTCATGACCCGTCTCTCTCACAGGTGGGTGAAACAGGAAAGTGAGTTTGCCCGACAGGAAGCCACGCAGGATTCGGTGCCGAAGCTGGACTTGGGCTTCAAAGAGGGTCAGACCATCAAGATCAACATCGGGGTGAGCGAAGCCATCGAGATCGTAGCGTAATCCGATCTAGACTCGCAACAGAAGCCCCGCCCCCTCCATCACACACCAAAAATGTCACCAAAATTCAAGAAATGGGGCAAAAAATGGATGTAGCTGGTTAACCAAACACACAGTAGAACTATTATGAGTTTTCTAACAACACAGTGATTGCTAAATGAATCAGTGATAAATGAATGAATCTAACGAACGATTCAATGACTCACTCGTCAGTTGCTAATTCAGCCGTTTTAAACGAAACGTTTGAGTGAATGATTCAGTCACTCGCTTGTTAAGACTATGATTTGCTGCCACCTACTGGTGGTTTTAGAATCATGCGTGTTATTAGTGGTAGATAGAATACATTTATAAACAGACTATTAAGGGTGAAATATGAGATAACTTTGTTAAATATATCAGAGATAATAAAGTAAAAAAATATATAGTCACAGTCGCATATAATGTTTTTGTCATTTTCTCGTTGGGAGTGAATGGCCCTCTGCCAGATAGATAGATAGACAGATAGATAGATAGATAGATAGACAGTTAGATAGATAGACAGACAAACAGACCGATAGATGGATAGATAGACACAGACAGTCAGACAGACAGGTGTTGACTTCTGTCTCTCTCTCTCAGAACATAAAGAAGAAGGAGTCGAGTGGGCCGGTGAAGTCTCGAGCGGTGGGTGGTCTGCTTCCTCCTCCTCCTCCCGGTGTGAAGGCCAGCGCTCTCGTTCCTCCACTCGCAGTTCAGCAGACGATACCTGTCGCTCCTCCCAGCACAGGTGAGACACTCAGACCTGTCGCTCCTCCCAGCACAGGTGAGACACTCAGATCCGGTGTATTTATAACAGTCCTCGGTGGGTTTGGCTAATATGAGGCTCCTCCCCTTTTAGCGACACTGTTGGACATTGGAGAATCCGCCCCTGCTGTGGCCCCGCCCTCTCAGGACATGTGGGGGGATTTCACTGCGGCAGGACCTGGGTCAGTGTGTCTGCCTGTCTATCTATCTAACTGTCTGTCTATCTATCGATCTGTCTATCTATCGATCTGTCTATCTATCTATCTGTCTAACTGTCTGTCTATCTGTCTGTCTATCTGTCTGTCTATCTAACTGTCTGTCTATCTGTGTCTGCCTGTCTGTCTATCTAACTGTCTGTCTGTCTGTGTCTGCCTGTCTGTCTATCTAACTGTCTGTCTGTCTATCTATCTATCTAACTGTCTGTCTATCTGTCTGTCTGTCTATCTATCTAACTGTCTGTCTATCTATCTATCTATCTATATATCTGTCTATCTATCTAACTGTCTGTCTAACTGTCTGTCTATCTATCTATCTAACTGTCTATATCTAACTGTCTGTCTGTCTATCTAACTAACTGTCTATCTATCTATCTATCTATCTATCTATCTATCTATCTATCTATCTATCTATCTATCTAACTGTCTGTCTAACTGTCTGTCTATCTATCTGTCTCTCTGTCTATCTATCTTTCTGTCTGTCTATCTATCTATCTGTCTGTCTCCAGGTGTCTCACTCTCTGATGTCTCACTCTCTGACTCTCTGACTCTCACTCTCGCTTGGTTTAGTCCTCAGTTGTAAGTCGCTTTGGATAAAAGCGTCTGCTAAATGACTAAATGTGATGTCTGTTCGACAGGTCCACGCAGGACACGCGGTCGGAATGGGTGCAGTTCTAGCGTCTTTGGAAAGGGATCGTGAGAATGTGATGACACATGGACGCTGTTTTTCCACGGATATTTCTATGCAATCGGCCTGCGGTCGCTGATATTCGCTGCATTCCAGCCGCTGTCGAGTTTGAAACATGTTTCTTGTTAGTTTTTCACACGCGGCTTCAGTTAATGTGATGAGTCGTCAGTATCATGTCTCGTTTACCGCTGTCTCGGCTTGATGTTAAAGCTGAAGTGTGTCATAATAACTGTTTTCCAACAGGTTTCCTGATTACTCGCCCCCATCAGCCATTGGTCGTTAATCAGGTGGCCCCGCCCATAAACTCGCATAATTGGCTGACCCAGAAGTTGACAGGACAAATAAAGAGAGTCAAAGTGTTTACGGGAAGTTCATGAAGTAGTGACTTCCTTATAGTGACTCGCCATTAGTCTGTTAGTATTCGAAGATACAAACGAATGACACACTTCAGCTTTAAAGCTTTCCATCTGGTCTGTTTAGTTGGTTATCGGTGAGATTTTCTTTCTTTTAGTTCCTCATGTGTTTTATCTGTGCGTCATGTGATCTGTCTGACTCAAACTGCTATTTTCACTCGGATCAGGATTTGAAGAGCTTATTTTATGTGTTTATAAGCAGATGATTTTTCATCTTATACATTTTAAACTAACCCCAGACTTTATTTGCTTTATTTCCTGGTGACTACAGTTTTATTCTTGATATTGTCAGTAATTATAAAAGTCTGAATCTTTCCTTCAAGTGCCTTTATGAAACACATGTAGAATGTACAAATGATGGTTTATATATGAATAAACCGTTTCCTGATAAACAGTGTCGTTTTTTGCGGTAATACTAAATGTACTGATTCCTTAAACTTAATACTTCAAAATAAGTGACACGCTCAAGTAAAAATTATTAGTTATAATTAATTATCAAACTATCTGTATAATATGTGCTAATTTGCATAGCTAAATAAATATGAGTGTGATGGTTTCCATAGTTGTTGTTTTGTTGTAGTTTCAGGTGTGTGACTGAGAGCTGCTGATTCGCCAGGTGAGTTTGTACAAGTTGACTACTCTAATAAATATGAATGAATCTGAATAGATTTGAATTAATGTAAGTTATTACTTCAAATTCATTTGTTCGTATTGGGAAGTGTCATTTTACACACAGAACTAACTGTATACAGTCCTTTGATGTGTGAAAGACTGGTTTCTGTATGTAAAATCCCGATTGTTCCGCAGTGATTTGGGGTCTTTTATATGCGCGGGAAGTGAGTGTGACCCCGGAAAGAGTCCAGACTGAGCATCACACACATAAACACCAACACATTACCACACCAGCACTTTCATTCCGAGTTTAAAGCGCTTTTAATGCGGATTTAATGCAGTTTTGCCGGTAAGATCACGCGTGATTTTCTCCGTGTTCGTGCGATTGTGTTGAACGCGTTCGCGAATGAATGAGTGAGTGAAATATTAATAAATGTAATCGATAATTTGTCTTGAGTGAATAAAAATCATGTGTTCATAAACTAATTGAATATGAATATATTCATGCAACTTGTCCAGCGTCGCGTCACTGCATCTCTCGACAACGTGCATCCGGAGAGTTTGAGAGTTTTTGTGAGAGTCGATCAATTTGAATAAACCCATATACACATAAAATAAGTACTCAAAGTGGTTGCTTACAATATATGAAAACCTGCTGATTATAAAAACAGCTGTATTTTTGATGTCGCGCCGTGAATGTGGAGGAGTTTAGTTCCTGTCAGAGATTTAAACGCTGTACTTCCCAAACCCGCCTCAGGGGGCGCGCGCGCACGATCACATATCGCTTTGATTTAAGACCTACTCAAAAATACAATTACTTAAAAAACATTAATTTGACGAATTAACACCTTGTATATTAAATATAAATTAGTGGCTCTTTTTAAATAATTCCTCAGTTAATAATCAATCTGACTGGATTTCTGTTGACGGTTGGCCGTGTGTTGATGGGTTGTTGTCATGGTGATGGGTATTAATGCAAACATGTTAAATTACAGTAGTACGTTAAACGTAACCAATAAAAAAGTGTATCACCTTTGTTTTATTAGTTCGTTTAATTGTCGCTGTTTCAGTTTCTCTTTTGAATCCGATTGAGCTGCATGTGTATAATCTCACTCAATCTTATTAAAGCCCCCTCTCTCTCTCTCACACACACACACACACACACTCTCTCTCTCCTCAGTGTGTTCGCGGGTCTGTTCGGGAAGGGTCGGAATAACTGGATTATTGTCTGGATTCGTTTATGAAGTGTATTTCTGCGAGACACGTGATTCGTTCTCTAACGGCGCGAGTCACTGATTTTATCCGGTTTATCGAGTCTAAAATAGATTATATCCGATTGTAATGAATCTAATCGTAACTTCACCATGAGCGGTTCTGAAGACCCGAACGAGTCCAAACTTGAGGCGGTGATTCAGGTGTAGTTAATTTACTTCTTTTATTTCTTCATTCATCATCGCTTGATCGGAATAACTCTATGGATCGCGTGTTATTTGCGAGTCTCTTTGGATAAAAGCGTCAGTTTGATGAATAAATTGTGAATTATTAAATGTGTTTTCTGGTTCAGTTCTGGCGGCGCCGCAGGTGTGTGTTCTGATCTGATCTAAATATACAACAGATCACCACTGAGACCATCTGCCACTGACACACACACACACACACACACGTATAATATGGTTGTGTGTTTCAGAGGCTGGAGGAGAGCGTTCTGTGTGAAGAAAAGCGTCTGAGGGTTCGAGGATGTTCTCCAGATGAGCCTCAGTCACGGTTACCCGCCCGCGTGCGCGAGATCGTGTCCCGAAACCTGAGCGATAGCGGTGAGACTCGAAGAGCGTTCCGTTATTTATGAACGTTCTAAACATACAGTTTTTAAAATGTTTTAAAAACGTTTTTTTCTTGGTTATGCGAACATTAAGGGAACATTCCATTTGATCATTTCCAACACGTTATGAGAACGTTACTTTTGAATGTTCTCTGTTCGTTTAAAAAACGTTAGACGAACATCCAACCATAACTCCATGAACGAATAATGTTTTTGTTCTAACGTTTTGAGAACGTTATTAAAGACCAGATAACTTTGAACAAACATTCTTTTAACGTTACTGGAAGAACGTTTGTTTATAACATTGAGAGAACGTTCCCTGTTAACTGGGATTGAGCTCAACAGATTGAACAATGTTCTCTCTCTCTCTCTCCCCCTCACACACACACACACACACACACACAGCTGGAGGCATGTCGTCGAGTCTGTCGGTCCCAGAGGAGAACCGGGTTCTTCAGGCAGAACTGAGTCGTGTGGAGGATCTTCTGGCTCACAGTCGAGCAGAACGAGATGAACTGGCCATCAAATACAGCGCCATCAGCGAGAGAGTGAGAATCACACACACACACACACACACACACAGTCTAACGCCATCGAAGAGCCTGTTTCAGTTCTAGATCTTATAGTCGAGATCTTTAGTCTCTAAACTTTAGAGAACCTGAAACGGTTCATGGCCAGTGCCGTATTTACCATGTTTTTACACTCTGTGTGCAGTGAGAACACACACACACACACACTCTGTCTTTTGTCCGCGTCTCAGCGAGGTTGACCCGTCTCCGTGGTAACGGGGAGTGGAATGGCATGTTGCCATGGCGACTGTAAACAGGCTCTTTGATTCTGGGGCCCATCAGGACGTTTGTGAATTATTCAGGCAGTTTGAGCGTGAGCCGTGTTTACCTGTGATGTAGGTTGCCAGGGAGTTGTTTTATGGTTGCTAGGGCGATGTAGGTAGTTTCGACTGTTGCACAATCCGCAACTATCAAATCGCGAAGATATATAGATAAACGCATGTCCTGTGTGTTTCAGAGTCAGCCGCACTGCGTTCTTCCACGTGTCTCAGAGCGGCGCGCGGCACTGTGTCCGTTTCCACGCCAGCGGCTCGTCATCCGCTCGTCATCCTCTAACCCTAACCCTCGCTTATAACGCGGAATTGTTTTATGTGAGCGTATTTTACAACTCTGAGTTTGAGTCGCTTATAACGTGAATTTGAAAACGCACCACACGCTGATAATCTTCCACGAACTCGAGCAGCGCTTATAAACCGAAAGAGAAGGTTTTCTGCCAAAATAAAAGCTCGACTGTTTAACGTTTGAAAATGAAACTAAGCCATACATTTTAGTATTCTGATGTTACAGTTGTACTATATAAAATATAGTAAAACAAATTACTACATTATTTTTCTTAAATACTAATTTTTTTTTGTAATTTTAGTTCTTATTTTAATACTTTTATTTAATAATAATAATTAGTATTATAGTGCAACAAAATGTTAATTATTTTATTTTATAGTCCTATTGATATATAATAACATTTTGGTTCTAACAAATAATTAATACTTTCCCTCCAAATCGTGCGGTACTAGTGGCTCAGGTGTTGTAGATGGTTGCTAGGGTGTTTGTTTGTTTGCTTGTTTGTAAACTTTATTGTCCTTTCTCAGGAAATTTGTCTTGGGCTCAAAGCTACATAATACACCACATACATACAGCAAATGGACTCGAGGCTGCGTTAATATACAATATACCACTGTGTGTCCTGTGTGGTTGCTAGGGTGTCCTGTGTGGTTGCTAGGGTCTTCTGAGTGGTTGGTAGGGTCTTCTGTGTGGTTGCGAAGGTGTGATGGATGGTTGCTAGGCTCTTCTGTGCAGTTGCTAAGGTGTTATGGGTGATTGCTAGGGTGTCCTGTGTGGTTGCTAGGGTTTTATGTGCGATTGCTAAGGTGTTATGGATGGTTGCTATGGTCTTCTGTGTGGTTGCTAGGGTGTCCTGTGCGGTTGCTGAGCTCTTCTGTGCGGTTGCTAAGGTGTTATGGATGGTTGCTAAGGTCTTCTGTGTGGTTGTTATGGACGTCTGTGTGGTTGCTAGGGTCTCCTGTGCGGTTGCTAGGGTCTCCTGTGCGGTTGGTAGGCTCTTCTGTGTGGTTGCTAGGGTCTCCTATGTGGTTGGTAGGCTCTTCTGTGTAGTTGCTAGGGTCTCCTGTGCGGTTGGTAGGCTCTTCTGTGCGGTTGCTAGGGTCTCCTTTGCGGTTGCTAGGGTCTTCTGTGTGGTTGCTAGGGTCTCCTGTGCAGTTGCTAGGGTCTCCTGTGCGGTTGGTAGGCTCTTCTGTGTGGTTGCTAGGGTCTCCTATGCGGTTGGTAGGCTCTTCTGTGCGGCTGGTAGGCTCTTCTGTGCGGTTGCTAGGGTCTCCTGTGCGGTTGCTAGGGTCTCCTCTGCGGTTGCTAGGGTCTCCTGTGCGGTTGGTAGGCTCTTCTGTGCAGTTGCTAGGGTCTCCTGTGCGGTTGCTAAGGCTCTCCCTGATTGTGTGCAGCTGGAGCAGGCGCTGAGGATGGAGTCGGCCGAGGAGGATCCGGGTTCTCCTGAGTCGCTCAGTCTAGCGCAGCAGAACGTGGATCTGCGCAGACGGCTGGACGAGGAGCAGGCGGCGTATAAACGCAAACTCACGGCGTACCAGGAGGGGCAGCAGAGACAAGCGCAGCTCGTGCAGAAACTACAGGCCAAGGTGCAACACCACACGCGATCGTTAAAACACACACTCCGCCGGTCTCCTCTCTGAGAACACTCATCTTACGCCGTGTGTTTGCAGGTTCTACAGTACAAGAAGAAGTGTGGAGATCTGGAACAGATGCTGCTGGAGAAGTCTGCTGTCAGTACATCCCATAATACCTCACTGGACATCATATAAATACATCCCATAATACCTCACTGTACCTCAGACACACGGGCTGAATAACATCCAATAACATCTGTGCTTTACGAGTGTAAAAGCGGTGTGTGTTTCAGAGTGAAGCGCGGCACTGTGTTTCACGCCAGCGGCTCAAACTGCTGTTTTACATTCTAATAATATTTCACAATATTACTGTTTTTTTTTTGTTGTATTATTAATAAATGCAGCCTCGGTGAGCAGAAGTGGTTTTCTTTTAAAATCATTAAAAATCTTACGATCCCTAGACGGACGTTGTTAACCGTTGTAACGTTCTATAGACGCGCCACGCAAGTTAAAAGAGACACTTTTTTCTGTAACTGACCGGTTTTAGCAGTAAAAATGTTAAGAGTGAGGCGACCCCTGGCTGTGATCGCTGTTGTGTGTGCAGAGCCGGTGTGGCGGCACTAACGGTCATGATGACGAGGAGCCCAGCAGCGAGATGGAGAGCGCCCTCATCAGGCTGGAGGAGGAACAGCAGAGGTCTCACACTCACTGAACACACTCATCTGTCATGATATACACACACACACGTGTGCTTAACGTGTTTGCATGTGCGTGTGCTGAACGTATTTGTGTGTTGAACGTGTGAGTGTGCTAAACGCGTGTGCTTAATGTATTTGCGTGTTCTTAACATGTTTGTATGTGCGTGTGCTTAACATGTGTTCTTAACGTGTGTGTGTGTGCTTAAGGTGTTTGCGTGTACATGTGCTTAATGTGTGTGCTTGTACTTAACGGGTTTGTGTGTGCTTAGCGTTGCGTGTATGTGTGTGCATGTGCTTAACATGTTTGCATGTGTGTGTGCTTAACGTGTTTGCGTGTGCGTGTGCTTAACATGTTTGCGTGTGCGTGTGTGCTTAACATGTTTGCATGTGTGTGTGTGCTTAACGTGTTTGCGTGTGCATGTGCTTAACGTGTTTGCATGTGCGTGTGCTTAACATGTTTGCGTGTGCGTGTGTGCTTAACGTGTTTGCATGTGTGTGTGTGCTTAACGTGTTTGCGTGTGCTTAACGTGTTTGCGTGTGCTTAACGTGTTTGCGTGTGCTTAACGTGTTTGCGTGTGCTTAACGTGTTGGCGTGTGCATGTGCTTAACGTGTTTGCATGTCTGTGTGCTTAATGTGTTTGCATGTGTGTGTGCTTAACCTGTTTGCATGTGTGTGTGCTTGACGTGTTTGCATGTGTGTGTGCTTAACCTGTTTGCATGTGTGTGTGCTTAATGTGTTTGCGTGTGAGCAGGAGCAGCGGTCTATCCGCGGTCAACGCTATGCTGCGAGAGCAGCTGGAACAGGCCGGACTGGCCAACGAGGCGCTCAGCCAGGACATCCGCAGACTCACTGCTGATTGGACCAGAGCGAGGGAGGAGCTGGAGCAGAGGGAGTGTGATTGGAGGAAAGAGGAGGAGGTGGGTGTGGCCGTACGCATCACTGTAACACACGGAACGCTGCAGGGTTTAACTTATGCGTTTGTTCAGTCTTTCCACAGCTACTTCAGTAGCGAGCACAGCCGTCTGCTGGCGCTCTGGAGGCAGGTGGTGGGTCTGCGCAGGCACGTCTGCGAGATGAAGAGCGCCACCGAGAGGTCAGAGCCGGCACTCAACACTGACTCAACACACACCGGAGCGCACTCAACCCCGACTCAACACCGACTCAACACACACCGGAGCGCACTCAACCCCGACTCAACACACACCGGAGCGCACTCAACACCGACTCAACACCGACTCAACACACACCGGAGCGCACTCAACACCGACTCAACACCGACTCAACACACACCGGAGCGCACTCAACACCGACTCAACACACACCGGAGCGCACTCAACCCCGACTCAACACCGACTCAACACACACCGGAGCGCACTCAACCCCGACTCAACACCGACTCAACACACACCGGAGCGCACTCAACACCGACTCAACACCGACTCAACACACACCGGAGCGCACTCAACACCGACTCAACACACACCGGAGCGCACTCAACCCCGACTCAACACCGACTCAACACACACCGGAGCGCACTCAACCCCGACTCAACACCGACTCAACACACACCGGAGCGCACTCAACACCGACTCAACACACACCGGAGCGCACTCAACACCGACTCAACACACACCGGAGCGCACTCAACACCGACTCAACACACACCGGAGCGCACTCAACACCGACTCAACACACACCGGAGCGCACTCAACACCGACTCAACACACACCGGAGCGCACTCAACCCCGACTCAACACACACCGGAGCGCACTCAACCCCGACTCAACACACACCGGAGCGCACTCAACACTGACTCAACACACACTGGAGCGCACTCAACCCCGACTCAACACACACCGGAGCGCACAACACCGACTCAACACACACCGGAGCGCACTCAACACTGACTCAACACACACCGGAGCGCACTCAACCCCAACTCAACACACACCGGAGCGCACTCAACACCGACTCAACACACACCGGAGCGCACTCAACACCGACTCAACACACACCGGAGCGCACTCAACACTGACTCAACACACACCGGAGCGCACTCAACACTGACTCAACACACACCGTAGCGCACTCAACACCGACTCAACACACACCGGAGCGCACTCAACACTGACTCAACACACACCGGAGCGCACTCAACACCGACTCAACACACACCGGAGCGCACTCAACCCCGACTCAACACACACCGGAGCGCACAACACCGACTCAACACACACCGGAGCGCACTCAACACCGACTCAACACACACCGGAGCGCACTCAACACCGACTCAACACACACCGGAGCGCACTCAACACTGACTCAACACACACCGGAGGGCACTCAACACCGACTCAACACACACCGGAGCGCACTCAACCCCGACTCAACACACACCGGAGCGCACTCAACCCCGACTCAACACACACCGGAGCGCACTCAACACCGACTCAACACACACCGGAGCGCACTCAACACTGACTCAACACACACCGGAGCGCACTCAACACCGACTCAACACACACCGGAGCGCACTCAACACTGACTCAACACACACCGGAGCGCACTCAACACCGACTCAACACACACCGGAGCGCACTCAACACCGACTCAACACACACCGGAGCGCACTCAACACCGACTCAACACACACCGGAGCGCACTCAACACCATCTCAACAGACACCGGAGCGCACTCAACACCGACTCAACACACACCGGAGCGCACTCAACACCGACTCAACACACACCGGAGCGCACTCAACACCGACTCAACACACACCGGAGCGCACTCAACACCGACTCAACACACACCGGAGCGCACTCAACACCGACTCAACACACACCGGAGCGCACTCAACACCGACTCAACACACACCGGAGCGCACTCAACACTGACTCAACACACACCGTAGCGCACTCAACACCGACTCAACACACACCGGAGCGCACTCAACACTGACTCAACACACACCGGAGCGCACTCAACACCGACTCAACACACACCGGAGCGCACTCAACCCCGACTCAACACACACCGGAGCGCACAACACCGACTCAACACACACCGGAGCGCACTCAACACCGACTCAACACACACCGGAGCGCACTCAACACCGA